AAAAAAAAAAATAAAATAAAATAAAATTTTGCAAATTATTTCGACAAAATGGTTTTTTTTTTTTGAATATTTATTGTAAATTAATAATTTTTTAAATTTTAAATTAAATTATCATACCTGGAAGCACGAAATATTTGCCGAGCTGGCACATTACAAGTCATCACAGCCCAACCTCGAATATACATTAGAATAATTAATTTAATATTATTAATTGCTGGTAGCATAGGAACAAAAAATAAACCCAACCATATCATTCCTTGATTATTTACCAAATGTAACACATTTTCAGCAACTTTAAATTCACCATATTCTGGCTGAAAATATTATTAAAAAAAAAAAATTTTTTTTTTAAATAATTTTTTAAAAAAATTGATAATTTATTTTTTTTGTTTAAATATTGATAAGAATAAAAAAAAAAAAACGCACAAATGTTGTTTCCAAATTCCAAAACCACCAAATATTGGTGTATCGAACCCAAAGAGCTCGAAAAAAATCGATCACCAAAATGGATGCAATTGTCATCACCAAATCAGTTGTCACCAATTTTGTTATTTCCTTTAATTTTTTTTTTTTTAAATTAAATGAAATTTCTGAATAAATATTATTTTATTTTTAATTATTCTATACTTATAATTTAAGCGATATTTTATTTTGTTTATTTGATCACTGTAAAATATTCAAATTTTATTTCTTTTATTGCAGTGAATATTTTTTTCATTTCAACTACCTTTTTAAATCATTTATATCATTTAGAATTAGTAATAATTAAAATAATCAATAATCATTTTAATATTGCAATAATATGCAAATAAAAGTTACTAATAAAGATAATGATAATGCACTAATGATAATAATTAGTAGAATAATAGATGATTTTAAAAAAAAAAAAAATGATTTTAAAATATATTATTTTAATAAAAATATGACTTTAACAAGTTACTTACCTAATTTTAATGGTAATTATGATAATGAAAAACGAAAATGATTTTAAAATATATAATTTTAATAAAAATATGACTTTAACAAGTTACTTACCTAATTTTAATGGTAATTATGATAATGAAAAACGAAAATGATTTTAAAATATATAATTTTAATAAAAATATGACTTTAACAAGTTACTTACCTAATTTTAATGGTAATTATGATAATGAAAAACGAAAATGATTTTAAAATATATAATTTTAATAAAAATATGACTTTAACAAGTTACTTACCTAATTTTAATGGTAATTATGATAATGAAAAACGAAAATGATTTTAAAATATATTATTTTAATAAAAATATGACTTTAACAAGTTACTTACCTAATTTTAATGGTAATTATGATAATGAAAAACGAAAATGATTTTAAAATATATTATTTTAATAAAAATATGACTTTAACAAGTTACTTACCTAATTTTAATGATAATTATAATAACGAAAAAAAAAAAAAGAAATCTAACAAACCTCTCCGATAAGATTTTCCCAACATTCCTCATACCAATCCGTGGACAAACGAGCTGCTGACAAAACCGCTTGTACGGTAGTGGAATAATTTAGAAATGTTGGTTTAGCGGAAATATTTTTTGTCCAATCAGTGTTACCAATTGGATATGCAACAAACGTACTTGCATTCATAATACCACGTCGATTTTCACTTACAACAGCTTTTGGATTTGTGATACCAAGTGGACCAAAGTTTGGAAAAACCTTGAAAAGTGATAATGATTTATAGAATCATGATAAAAAAATCATTATAATCATTTTAGAACAATATGTGAAACAATAAGTAATAATATGTAAAACAATAAGCATTCAGTAATATTAAAAAATAATATGTGAAACAATAAGCAAAAAAAATAATATGTGAAACAATAAAAAATAAAAAAAAAAATAATATGTGAAACAATAAAAAATAATATGTGAAACAATAAGCATTCAGTAATAATAAAAATGTAAAATTATGATATAATAATAGGTATAATCATGCTAGAAATGCTATAATTATTGCATTATAACTATACTAACCAATTATTTTTTTATAGATTTACTTGCTAAAAAAATTTCAATGTAATTATAATTAAAATATTACTGTTATTTTAATTACTCACTAAAATACAACTATTTTTATATTTTATCATTAAAAAAACGCCTGCATTTGTTGATAGAATAATTTATGCATAATTGTTAATTTAATTAAAACTAAAAAAGTAATACTGTTAAGACTTCAGCTATAAATCATAATAATCATGACAATAATAATTCTCGCAAAATTATAAATGATAATTATAATTATGATATATAGTTTTGAAAAAAAAATGCTAAAGTATGAAATTGGAAGAATAATAAAAGTTAAACTAATTTTTTTTTTGTAAATAATATCAAGAATAATTGTGATACAATTAGTTCTTACAGTTGTCCATGATTTGCCAGGAGATGGCGTTGTTGGAATGTCAATGAATTTACTACGATTGAAAAGTGATGACGCAACAGATGGAAAATCGAATACCACTTGACGACCACTTCTGATAATAAATATTCAATTTATAGTATTTCAATTATTTAATTTCATTATTTTCAGTGAATTTTAAAAAGAAACATTAAGAAAGTGCATAATAATAACAATATTAATAATAACAATAATAATATAAGTATTATAATATTTGATGACCAGCACTGATAATAAATAATATAAATATTATTATTAAAGCAAAAAAGAAAGATTCAATTAATAGCATTTCAATTATTTAATTTCATTGTTTTCAATGAATTTCAAAAAGAAAGTTTAAGAAAGTGCATAATAATGTTATAAGTATTACATAATATAAGTATATAATATACAATATTAATATAATTTGGTTATAACATATTAAAATAATTTTTTTAAATAAAATTTCTTTTTTAAATTTTATTTTTTGAATAAAAATAATTTTAAATTTTTTAATTAATTTTGTTGAATTTCCATTAAAATAATTTAATTATGGAAATAATATATTTATTACATTAAGAAAGTACAATAACAATGCCAAATCATTTGTATGATCAAATTACCGATCATTTTTCTTTATTCTTCATACTAATGAAAAATTGATTGATTGTAAAGTTATAAATTATTTGCAGTGTTCAAATTATTTTTACTAATGCATTATCTTAAAATATTTTTTAAATAATTTAAAAATTATTCCATCAAAAGAAGTTCATAAATGAAGTCTTATTAAATACAAATTTGAAATTAATAATTTTAAGTTAAAAAAAAAGACAAAGAAACAAAAACAACAAAACATTAACAAAAATAGATGACACTTAAATATTTCGAATTTAAAATTAGTTTTTGAAAAAAAAAAAAAACAGAAAAAAGAATATAAATTAAAATGAACCGTTGTTTAATAAATTGATTATAGGAAGTGTTGTAAACCGGTGCCTTATTATGATGATAATCGGAAGAATACTGTGCAACCGGAATAAGACGTTCACCAACGTTTCGTTGACTTTCCATTGTATTCAACATGAACATCAATGAAATAATAAGAGTATAATAATTCAATATGTAGAGGAATAAAACCCTGAAATAATTAATCTGATAAAAAAAAACTCTCATAAATCTGATAAAAAAAACTCTGATAAATCTGATAAAAAAAAACTCTGATAAAAAAACAATCACTATTAAATCTAATAATTTTAATTAATAAAGAAAAATTAATTTTTAGTAATGAAAAAAATTATCAGCAATTAAAATTTAAAATAGGAAAAACTATTGAAATTATCAATTATTATCAATAATCAAAGAGATACAAACAGCATATAACATTTCATTCTTGCTTTAATGCAAATATTTAGTATTATTATACGTCGAAAGTTTAATATATTATATTCAATCGATTTGTAGGACAAAACTAAGATCAAATTATAGTAGTATAGGTAATAGTCTTAAGATTATAGTATAAGTAATACTTGTAGTATAAGTAATTCTTTCATCTGATACTTTAGATAAAAATAAATAAAATTTGATCAAACAATACGATACCTTCCTAATTGTAGTCGAAGAGCAGTTCGTGGATGATAACGTTCCATTTTACTGATGAGATCGAAAAAATTTGGAAATGTTAAAGTGATAAATGAGACCGTTATTGATACAGCATTCTAAAATGAATTCGATCAATTATTTAATAATAATTTAAATTTCAAAATTTCAAAAAAAAAAAAAAATTTACAGAAATTATCCTTTTATAATATTATTATAAATAAAAAAATTAGGATGAAATTTTTTTTTTTTGTTTTATCATTTATGCTTGTAAAAATTAAAAATATAAATTTATTTAATTCAATTTTATAAATTGAAATTTTAATTGAAAATTTTATAGAAGTTACCCGCTGTATGAAACTTGTTTTTGTTGTAATTTGACTAACAGCAAGAATAGCCCATACTGATCCAGCTTGCATCGCAAACACTAATATATTTGCTAAGACACGAAGAGTAAATTGAAGAAAGCTATAAAAAAAAAAAACAAAACAAAAAAAGAAAAAAAATTAATAAAATAATTTTTGTTATTAAAATTTCTTATGAAAAAAAAAAAATAAAATTTAATTATTTAAGAAATTGGAAAATTTTTTTTTGCAAATTTTTTAAATTGTAATTTTAGGAAAAAATTTTTAAATGATCGCACATTTTCTTTTTTTTTTTTTAAAATGATTGCTTGATTATCAGAAAATTTTAGATTCATAGCAAATATAAATTGCAAAATCAAATGAAATAAAAGTTTAGTGATATGATTCAAATTATCACTGATATCATTTGATCTATAGAATTTCGTTGTGATTATCATTTGTTGCTTATCATTCGTTTTTTCTAATTTTTATTGAGCATATTTATTGTTTATTTTGAAAGATAAACAAAACATACACTATTTATTTAAAATATATATTATACAATGCAAATAAATTAAATGACGTATTTCACGTGTTTCACTTAAGATAAGTGAAAAGAAAAAAAAGAATAATATTGATTAATAAATACTTACTCGAATTTTTTTGTACGGTTTACATTGTATTCAGCAATTATTTCCTACAAAAATGCTTCAAATTAGTTAAATAAATCCAATTTCAAACGATTAATTCTAATCTAAGTTCATTAAATTTAATTAAATTTAAATTCAGAATGCAAAATTTGTAATTTTAGAAATTTAAAACAAAGCAAACAAACAAAAATGCAATATAACATACTCGAAATTTGTTAACATTAGCCATTACAAAGTTCGAAGCAGTTTCCGCATTTCCGATTGAGTAATCCCAACCGGCAAATAATTTCCAGTTAAATACATATTGCTCCGCTTTACCACCGGAAAGCTTACTTTGTCGAGCATTTGATGCCATCCTGAAAAACATTCCTTAATTTTTTCTCTAAACTATTGCTACATTCAAATATCCATTGAAAATTCTTACACTAAAACCGGTCATGAAACTATTTCCGGTCACAATTTATGAAAAATATAAGAAATTATTTTTATGAAGTTTTTGAAAATTATTTTGTCTTTAAAGTTAAAATTAAAAAACAAAAAAGCTATTGATTTGATAAATTTGCATTAAAAAAAAAATAAAATAAATTTAAAAAAAAAATTAAAATAGTATAAAACTTACTTTTGTAAAATAATAAAGAAACTGTAACCGAGAATAAATAAATTTACAATAAAATATGCAACAGGTACACTGTATTGCACCGTATCACCGAAATATGTTTCACTGCTATAGTAGCCATAAAATAACAATGAATACTCGAAATAGCCCTAAAATGAAATTTAATTAAGAAAGAAAAATTTGAAAAAAGAGAAAAAATCTAGTAAATAACGTTAAAAAATTTTAGTATTGATTTTATTTTATAATTTTAGTATAGTATTTTAATATTAATTTTATTTTATAATTTTAATATTAATTTCATTTTATAATTTTAGTATAGTATTTTAATATTAATTTCATTTTATAATTTTAGTATACTATTTTAGTATTAATTTTATTTTATAATTTTAGTATAGTATTTTAGTATTGATTTTATTTTATAATTTTATTATTAATTTCATTTTATAATTTTAGTATAGCATTAAATAGAAAAAGAGTTAAATTCATTTTACAATTATTCTAATTTATTTGGAATCAACTCATTCATTTTTTTTAAAAAATATATAGTTTGCTTTTTTTAAACACTCTTACATTCTATTATTATTATTATTATTATTATTATTGTTATTATTATTATTATTATTTGAATGGTTCAGCTTAGTGATAATATCATTTAAATCATAATAAATTATCAGTAACTTCAGTGATCTGAAGTGATCTTTTGATTTTAATTCCTTTCTAATTGAATACTATATGAATTTCATTAGTTTATAAATAATAAAAAAATATATTTTATTAAAATAATAATGCGATAATGCATGCATAACATTTTTGTCAACGATTTTTACAACAATATTATTGAACAAATATTTTTTGAAAATATTTTCAAAATTAGTTTTAGTAGAAAATGAAAATTTATTTGTCATTGATAGATTAACAAAACTCAGTAATTAATTTTATTAATACTTTTTTGACAATTTGTTAATTAATATTTTTCCTTTTAACTTTTATAGCAATTTTTTTTTATGTCTAAAAAGAAAAAAAAACGAATACTTTAATAAAAAATACTTACTTTAAAATCAAGAACAGTATTCAACTCATCAGCTCGTGGTATATCTTTCTCTTTCATAACTTTAATATGATACGTTCGATTAAATCGTTCTGGGCCACCTCGAGAATCTGCTAACCACTAAACAAACCCTTTATAATAAATATTTTATAAAATTTATCATTTTAGATAAGCAATAATTGCTATTAAAATAATTTACATAAAATTTTTACAAGAAATTAGTGACAAAAATTTAATGTAATATAAAATTTTAATAAAGTTTTCAAAAGGAAAAAAAAAAGAGAAACTTATATTTTCAGCTTTTAAATTGTTAATTTTAATAATATTTTAACTTTGTTCAAAGCACTTAAATTTATTTTAGAAAAAAACTTCACAATTGTTTAAACATACATATTGAAATAAGCAAACTTTCATTATTGATAAGGTTTGCATGCTTAATCACGTTCACGTTACGATCACGTTTTTCAAGCAAACTTACGTGAATTATATTTGAAAAGTAAAATAAACCTTAGCATTTATAAATTTATTATATCATTCGAAAGTATACTTACCTCTGGAATGGTAACAAACAACATCATTATTATTGTCATAGTAATGTTTACACTAAGAATCCATCGTAAGAATGTAAAATAAGATGAAACTACAGAACCATAATGACCTAAAATAAATATACAAATCATCAATTTAAATTTCAAAAATAATAAATACAAAAAATTTAATTAATAATATAAAATTCACTATGCATTCAAAGGTTTCAAGAAGTTTCTTTTTTGTTTAAATCGTTTATGTGAAAATCTTGGAGGAAATTGTTGTATTCTAAAAATTTATTTCACTAATTTTAGCATTTCAACAAAAAAAAAAAAAATCTTTGATAGAAAAAAAAAATAATAATCATAATTAAATAGAATATAATAGAAAATAAAGAAAAAACTAATTAATTAGAATAATTAATTAAATTAAATTAACCTACTCTCGATTGTTTTAATTTTTGCTTCCCATGGTATTAAATAAATTTTCATATTACTACACCAACGGCCAAATGCTGTCCATTGCCTGGTTGCTTCTACTTTATACAGATGCCATCGTGATACTTTTGATTGTTGACGTTTTAGATATCGTCTTGCTACTCTAAAAAAATTTCTTTTAAAATTTAAATTTATATTCATATACTGTAATGAATTTTAGACATTTAATTTTATTAATTATTTTATATGTTTTAACAATTTAATATAATTATTTCTAATTTTTTATTGAAAATAAATTTTATACTTTATAAAGTTTTTTTTTTTTTTTCAATAAATTCAAATGAAGAAGTGATGAATGATTAATTTTGCATACTTTAGGGCACGTCTTTTCCGCTTCATACTCCACGGTTGACTTCGTAAACGGATAATTGCTTCCTTTTTTTGACGTATCGTTTCCAGTACCCATCCTTTTGACATCTGTTTCGGATCTTCTTCTTCCTCTTCCTCATTTTCATCCCTGTAAAAATTTTCATTTTTTAATATTAATCATTGTCTATTATCATTTCAGGCTGTGGATGCTATAAGATTCAAAAAAAAAAAAAAAATATTTAAGTGATTAAAAAAAAAAAAAATTGAGGTTAAAAGTTTGATAAGAATTTGACAACAAACATGCAATTATAAATTAAAATAATAATAGATTAAAATATACTCGAATGAATTAATTACAAATTAAAATTTCAATGAATTAATTGTAAATTAGAATATACTTGTATGATATATCAGAGCAACAGAAAAGGGAACACTACATTCTAAAATTTTATTCATTAATTCATTTTTATTAAATTTTGATGAATTAATTAATTAAGTTCGTTTTTCTTTTTTAGTTGTTTATATTTTGGCTTAATAGTAATTACTGGACTTTTTCAATGATTTCTTAAATATGCAATAATATATTTGAAATGAATTTTAGACACTTTTAACATATCACAGAATCTCTTTTAAATTTTAAAAATTAATAAATTTGAACTTTGAAAATTAATAAATTTAATACAAATCGTTTAATTAATATAAAACACAAATATATGAAATTTTATATTAATGAAATTGATTTGTGCTAAATTAATTTTAATTTTTATTACTACCAAAATTTGCTTATGATTAATTAAAAATTGCAGTAAAAAATATAAGTAAAAAACAAAAAATAAAGAATAAAACTAACTGTGTTCCAGTGAACTGTCCAGGAAGACGAATTGGTTTAACAGTGTTTGAAGAAGATCGTTGAAAAAGTGAAATTAAATCGACCTAAAATTATATGCAAAATTCATCGATAATTTTTGAGAAAAAAAAAAGAAATTTTATTAGAAAATTATTTATTTATCAGTTATTTATCAAAATTGATAAATTAAAGTTTAGTAAAGTATTAATTAAATTTTTTATTTCATCTCTTTTCTTTTTTTTCTTTAAACTAATTCTGACAAAACAAAACAAAATAAAAAAAAAAAAAAAAAAAACAATGTGACAAAATTTTTACAAGGAGGGAAGATCGACGAGAAAGCCGTACAGCAGACGATGATTCATCATCAACAGATTCCGGAATACGTTCAGCTGACTGACTGAGTGCGGTACGTTCATCTGAATCGAAATTTTCCGCATCATTTTTTCTAAACTTTCTCAATGCTTGTTGATAAAGCTTCCGGCCAGCTTCTAATGCTTCAGTACAACAACGATGCATCGATTGGCTAACACGTCTCACTGAATTATTATACGTAAAAAAGCACGTCTCCTGAATTATTATACGTAAAAAGAACACATCTCACTGAATTATTATACGTAAAATGAACACATCTCACTGAATTATTATACGTAAAAAAACACGTCTCACTGAATTATTATACGTAAAAAGAACACATCTCACTGAATTATACGTAAAAAAACACGTCTCACTGAATTATTATACGTAAAAAGAACACGTCTCACTGAATTACTATACGTAAAATGAACACATCTCACTGAATTATTATACGTAAAATGAACACGTCTCACTGAATTATTACACGTAATTCGTTAACCTTAATTATTAATTTATGCATTTAATCAAAAAAAAAAAAATTTTCTTCTCTTTTGCATCATAAACTTTCTAAATATATAATAAAAATTTTTACAAGAAAATTGAAAATTTTCAAATTCATAAAAAAATTTCAAAAAAAAGCTAAGAAAAGAAAAAGTGCAAAATTTTCATTACTAATATTATTTCATTTCAATTTTCTCTTTCTATCTTTTCATTTTAATAAAATTTTAATAAAAATTTGATAAAATTATTTTAATAAAATTTACTAACCTTTTAGGAGGATAGTTTCAGGCAACAAATAACAATTGCAAAGATGGCCTGAACTGTAGAATTGTTGAAAATTTGCATTTATTTTTTGTTGTAAAATAATTGCTGATAAAATGTAATTCGACCACCAAAAAGGCAATAATTAGTTTTAAAATTGCCAAATAATTGTTCATTATCACTTTATCATTTGGTGATATCATTATCCATTATCATTTTATCATTTGGTGATATCATTATCCATTATCACTTTATCATTTAGTGATATCGAACGGTTATTATAGTGACTATTCAGTACAATAAATGTAAGTAGTTATCATAAAAGTATGATTATGCATCAAACAGGCCAATTAAAAATTAATAAAATGCTCATTTCGCTTATTCGTCAAAAATTTCACGTATGACCTGAAATTATTTCATGATAATGCAATTATTTTACGTCAAAAATTTCACGTATGACCTGAAATTTTTTTATAATACAATTATGTAATTATTTTACGTCAAAAATTTCACGTATGAACTGTGATTATTTTATAATGATGCAATTATTTTACATCAAAAATTTCACGCATGACCTGAAATTATTTTATAATACAATTATGCAGTTATTTTAGGAATAATGTCATATTGTAATTGTGCACTATAGCATAAATATAATTTAGAAAAATGAAATTTGAATAATTTATAACAAATTAACAAAATTGCTTAAATTGAATTAAAATGCAAATTGATTTAATTTTTAGTCATGCAAATGCTAATAAAAAAATTTTTTGAAATATGTCATATTTATTCGTACAAAACTTATTCTAAATATTATAAAATTTTTTGTAAAATAACAAAAAGAATTGAAAAATAAATTTTGCATTATTTATTCTTTTTCAGTTCTAAATTTTAAATATTTAATAATTGAAATTAATTTTTGAAAAAAAAAAAAAAAAAAAACAACCCTACCATGCGATTGTAGTGTATGTGTATGTCTGTGTATGTGTGTGTGTGTGTGTGTGTATGTGTGTGTTGTCTGTCTATTTTGTGTTGATACGACCTAAGGATGAATTTTATTTTCTTTTTCGTTATTTGAATGCCAACTGTTGAAAGTGTATTTTATAAAAATTCCTTTCTCTTTCTCGCCCTCTCTCTACCTCTCTCTCTCTCTCTCCCTTTTCCCTCTTAGTTTTTCTTTTGTAACTTAGTTTAGACATTTCAATGTTACTTTCTTTAAATTATTTTAACATTTACAAATTACTTCACTTCGATATCATAAAGTTCAATTATTGTGGAAGCAAAAAAAAAAAAAATTGATTGATTGATTAATTGATCGATCGATTGACTGATCAATTGATTGATGAAAAAAGTTTCCAAATGTCCAGGAATGTAAAAAAAAAAGGAAGCAAATATAAATGAAAGAAAATTTTTTAACTAAAAACATTTATATTTTTAAATGATAAAATATCATGTGATTATTTACTGATTAAATATTTTGTTATATAAATAATCATTGTTTATTTGTCTAGTAAATATTTACAAAAATAAATAAACAAAATCTTTTGCTCATTTTTTGCTAACCAAAACATAGAACTAATTGTTAAGTATGAAAAGACAAAAAATAAAAAAAAATAAAATAAACAATAATATAAATTATTAACGATAAGAAATTTTAAATTTAAAGCAAATGTTTTGTGATTTATCAATAAATAAAATCTTGACAACTGAAATTAATTAATCATTTTGCAAAAGTTTTGTTTAGTAAAAACAAAAAGAAAAACAAAGTGAAAAAAAAAAAAGATAAAAGGTATGTATGAAGACTGAAAGAAATATTTAAACAATGGTCAAAATTTCATTTCAACTCATTTTTTTTTTTAAAAATATTTAAAATAAACAAATGAATTATTATAATGGAAAATGTTTTTTTTTTTTTTTTGAGATAAATTTGATTGAGAAATGGATGAAATAAATTTGACATTTTTTTTTCTATTATTATTGTCAAATGATTTCAATTTAAACATTAAATTATGTTAATTTAAAAATGCCTAATAGTAATAAAATCTGTAAAAAATTTCACTATTAATTTTAATTTTAATCTACGAATTAATGAAGTAATTTTTTTTTGAATTAATTAAAACAAAACTGGTTGTTTATTATAGAATAATTAATATGAATAGTTAATTATAGAAATATTAATGACAAAATAAAACAAATTGAATAACAAAATTTGAGCAAAGAAATTATCATAATTAATTTCAACAAATTATTGAATAATTTTAATTTTAATCTACTAATTAATGAAGTAATTTTTTTTTTGAATTAATTAAAACAAAATTGATTGTTTATTACAGAATAATTAATTTGAATAGTTAATTATAGAAATATTAATGGCAAAATGAAATCAAATTGAATAACAAAATTTGAACGAATAAATTATCATAATTAATCTTAACAATTTATTAAATAATTTTAATCTACGAATTAATGAAGCAATTTTTTTTTTTGAATTAATTAAAACAAAATTGATTGCTTATTACGGAATAATTAATATGAATAGTTAATTATAGAAATATTAATGACAAAATGAAATCAAACAGAATAACAAAATTTGAACAAAGAAATTATCATAATTAATTTCAACAATTTATTAAATAATTTTAATTTTAATCTACGAATTAATGAAGTAATTTTTTTTTTTGAATTAATTAAAACAAAATTGATTGTTTATTATAGAATAATTAATATGAATAGTTAATTATAGAAATATTAATGACAAAATGAAATCAAATTGAATAACAAAATTTGAACGAATAAATTATCATAATTAATCTTAACAATTTATTAAATATTTCAGTTTACAATTTAAAATTTCAACTGCTCATATGCTCATCTCAACAAAAATATATTAACGATCAAAGAGAATTTTTTTTTTTTCTTTATCCATTACTATTTGCTCTGTAACAAATGATCTATACAAAATTTTAAAAGTTATCAATAAAATACTAAAATTCAATCTTTGTTCCTTATCATTATCTTTCATTGTATAATTAATTATCACTAATTGATTACTGCTATCGTTATCATTTAAATTATTTATCTTTTTTTTTTTTTTGTTAGCATATTTCTTACAAATGCATTACTTATTACTACAATTATTACACAATATTGCAAATATGAGATAAATTAATGATATTATTTAATAAATGAAATAAAATAGTGAAAAAATTAAAAATTAATTAATGCATCTTTTAATTAAATTGAATTATAATATATTAAAATATATAGTGAAGAAGTGCTAAATATTTGAAAAGGTATGGCATTTGATGATCGAAGACAACTGTTTATATCTGAATCATTTATCAATTTTATCTCTTCCATCTCATTTAAACTATTTGATAGCAATTTAGTTTGCAATCCATATGTAATTTAAGCCTAAATCGGTGGATTAGCATTTGTTTTCATTGTTTGAACTAAATAAATAAATGTTAAAATTTAAAAAATTACTAAAATACTTAGCACTAATTGACATATACTAATTAAACTTTAATTTAATAAACAATAAAGCAATCATAATTTTAATAATATATTTTTAATTTAAAATTTTCTAAATTGCAATCATATCACTACTAAATTACATTGAATACTAATTTTTCCTTTTTTCAAAAAATATAAAAGGTTTTTTTTTTTTTTTTTCAAATGAAAACGTTTTTGTGAAATTATTTCAAACATTTTACTATCTTAAATTTTTTGAATTTTTTTTTAAAATGTAATCACTGGCGATGAGTAATTGTTATATTTAACAAGAAAAAATGAAAAGAATCTAATCAAAAAGAAAAATTCTTTTAAACATTATATACGAAAAGAAAAAAAAAAGAGAGAGAAAGAGCAAAAAAAAAAAATTTTTTTCTAATCATCTGGCAGAAACTATTATCATTAATGATAAAAAGGAAAAAAAATACATCAAAAAATATCCGACAAAAAAGAAAAATAAAAATAAAAAAAAAACTAAAATTAGTAATGCAATTAACTTTTTGTTTTAGAAAAAAGAAAAATTAACAATAGTTTCAAAAATATTACACTAAATTTATCATAAATGATAATTAGTACCATTATTTTAAAAATCTCATAAACTTGCAATAAAAAAAATTTTAACACTTTTTTTTTATTTTCAAAAAAAATTTAATGTATCCTTGCAAAATATTATGCATTCAAAGCATTGCTAAACTGATTAGTATTTTAAATACTTTTAAATTATATCGTTGCATTAATTAAGTTTTTCCTTTTTTTTTTTTTTTGTAATGAGAAAATTTTAAATGATAAATTTTGAAATGATATTGCTGATAAAAGCATATGATATCATTAATGTGTTCCAAATGCATTTCGAACATTATCCATTAGATAATGATAATAATAATGAT